GTTATTTAACTGTCACAGACAGTAATTTAATGTTAATTAACCTTTTTTTTCTTAAAAAAAATATATATTAATTAATATTACTGTCTTGGATGCTAAATTACTGTCTGCAACAGTTATTTAACTGTCGAAGACAGTAATTTATGTTAATTGACTTTTTTTTTTCTTAAAAAAAATATTTAATTAATATTACTGTCTTGGCTGCTAAATTACTGTCTTCAGCAGTAGTATAACTGTCGGATACAGTAATTTACTGTTAATTGACTTTTTTTTTTTGAAATTTATTTTTTCTTAAAAAAATATTTTAATTAATATTATTGTCTTGGCTCAAAATTACCGTCTCCAAAAGTAATTTAACCATCTGAGACTGTAATATTATTGTATTAATTAATTTAATCGTCTTGGCTTGCATTATCGTTGTCGTCGACTGTAATATTACTGTCTCCGACCGTAATATTACTGTCTCATGCAATAATATCGATGTTTGGGACAGTAATATTAGTAATATTACTGTTCGGGAAAATATTATTCATAATATTACTGTCCGAAACAATAATATTATTGTCCGAAACAGTAATATTATTGTCTGAAATAGTAATTTAGCAGGCAAGACAATAATATTAATTAAAATATTTTTTCTAAAAAAAAATTCAAAAAAAAAAAGTCAATGCCGAAGAGTGGCGGTCAACTGCGGTTGCCGGAAAAAAAAATTCAGAAACAAAAAAATCGAAAAAAAAAATCAACGCCGGAGAACCGCTTGACCGGTCAACGCAGGAATCTGGCCGGAAAAAAAAATTCAGAAAAAAATTATTTTCTAAAAAAATAATATTTTTTCAAAAAATTATTAAAATGGGGGTTAATGTGATATATTTGTTTAAATCCGGGGTCAATTTGTAATATTAAGAAAATTATAGTATAATGGATGGAATTGATAAAAAATATATTATGGAGGGTATTTTATAGTAAAGACATGAGGATGAGTTTATTTGAAAGATTGTTGTTTTTGTGGACCCATGTGCATTTAAGTCCATTGTCGTGTCCTTTTTTTGCAATTTGCCCTTATTATTAATCATTATTAATCGTTACTTAAGTTTTAATTATAGGGGTTTTTATGTAATTTCACTTATAAGGTAGGTATCGTACTTTTTTCATGGGGTTCGTACAAATCATACGTGTCACATTTTTATTGGTTGATTTTCAATCGTTTGGGTCCGAGTAGTACAACCCCTCTCGGACCCTAGACAACCCCTACACACTCTCCGTCCATGACCCATCAGCCGTATCTTTTTTTATTATTATTATTATTCTATTATTCTTTTTTTCCGTTTTTTAACTTTTTTTCTCTATCAGGTATATTAATCGACTATGAAGCATATTAAATCGACTATGATGAACTATAGTCGATTATGGAACCGACTACTAAAAATAACAAATCACAACTACAAAAATGCAAACTCAACTATATTTTACAGAAACAAACAATATACAAACATTATAATTGATTTATACAATTGGAATCAATAAGCAAAAAATCCAAAAAAAAAAACTTAAAAATTAAAGTCAATGAAGCATATTAATCGACTATGATGTGAAACATAGTTGATCAAGAATCTGCTACTAAAAATAACAAATCACAACTGCGAAAAAATGCAAAATCAACTATAAATTACAAAAACAAAAAATATACAAACATTATAAATGATTTATACAATTGTAATCAATAAACTAAAAATCCAAAAAAAATAAACAAATTGGAGTCGATCAACCTTAATCGACTACCACAGCATAATCGATTAGCTTAATCGACTATTGAACATGTACATAGTCGATTAAGGTTTCAGCATGCGCGAATTTTTCTACACGCGCCGTCATCTGCCCGATCCACCAAAAAATCCTAAATCTGCCTCCCCCAGCGTCGCCACTAGGGGTGAGTTCGGGACGGGATTTCGGGAATTCGGGATTTTCGGGATCGGGATTTCGGGATTCGGGATAGAAATTTTAAATCCCAATCCCGTCCCATAATATTAAATCCCGGTGTATATCGGTATCCCTAAATATTTCGGGAATTCGGGATTGGGATCGGGAATCCCATATTTTGGCTAAAAACTAAGAAATATTGTTTTTTTTTTTCCTATGTGGCCTG